GTGCTCAATTAAGGGAGAGGGGGACACTGGTGATCTGTGGGGGGGGGGGGAGCATTGGTGATCAGTGAAGGAAGAGGGAGAAACTGGTGATCTGTGGGGGTAAAGAAGAGACATTGGTGCTCAGTGGGGGGAGGGGGACACTGGCAATCTGTAGAGGAGAGGGGGAACATTGGTGCTGAGTGGGGGGAGAGGAAAGCATTAGGGCTCAGTGGGAGGAGAGAGGAACCCTGGTTATCTGTGGGGGGAGGGAAGACATTGCTGCTCAGTTGAGGAGAGAGGGGGGTATTGGTGCTCAGTGAGGGGAAAGGGGGGACATTGTTGCTCAGTGAGGGGAGGGGGACATTGATGCTCAGTGGGGGGAGAGGGGATCATTGGTGCTCAGTTAGAGGAGAGGGGGACACTGGTGATCTGTGTGGGAGGGGGGACATTGGTGCTCAGTTGGAGGAGAGGGGTACATTGGTGCTCAGTGGGGGGAGAGGGGGACACTGGTGATCTGTGTGGGAGGGGGGACATTGGTGCTCAGTGGGGGGGAGAGGGGGGCATTGGTTCTCAGTTGGAGGAGAGGGGGACACTGGTGATCTGTGTGGGAGGGGGAACATTGGTGCTCAGTGGGGGGAGAGGGGGGCATTGGTTCTCAGTTGGAGGAGAGGGGGACACTGGTGATCTGTGTGGGAGGGGGAACATTGGTGCTCAGTGGGGGAAGAGGGGGCATTGGTCCTCAGTTGGAGGAGAGGGGTACATTGGTGCTCAGTGGGGGAGAGGGAGGACATTGGTGCTCAGTGAGTGGAGAGGCGGGAGATAATTGGTGCTCAGTGAAGGAAGATGGGGACACCGGTGATCTGTTGGAGGGAAGGAGGGGCATTGGTGCTCAGTGGAAGAAAAGGAGGGACATTGGTGATCAGTGGGGGGAGAGGGAAGCATTGGTGCTCAGTGGAGGGAGGGGGTACATTGGTGCTGTGTGAGGGGGGCATTGGTGCTCATTGGGAGGTGAGGGGGACACTGGTTATCTGTGGGGGAAGTGGGGGACATTGGTGCTTAGTGGGTGGGGCATTGGTGCTCATTAGGGGGAGAAGGAAGCATTGGTGCTCAGTGCCAGGAGAAGGGGGGCATTGGTGCTCAGTGGGGAAAGAAGGAAGCATCGATGCTCTGTGGGGGGAGAGGGGGACATTGGTGCTCAGTGAGGGGAGAAGGAAGCATTGGTGCTCAGTGCCAGGAGAAGGGGGACATTGGTGCTCAGTGCCAGGAGAAGGGGGACATTGGTGCTCAGTGGGGAGAGAAGGAAGCATTGGTGCTCAGTGAGGGGAGAAGGGGGACATTGGTGCTCAGTGAGGGGAGAAGGAAGCATTGGTGCTCAGTGCCAGGAGAAGGGGGGCATTGGTGCTCAGTGGGGAGAGAAGGAAGCATCGATGCTCTGTGGGGGGAGATGGGGGCATTGGTGCTCAGTGAAGGGATAGGGGTACACTGGTGCTCAGTGAAGGGATATGGGTACACTGGTAATCTTTGGGAGGAAAGGAGGGACATTAGTGCTCAGTGGGGGGGACTGTAGATCACACTGTCTTTGTGACTGTATCTGCATGTTTGTTTTTTGTTTTTTCTAACTGATCTTGGAGGGGTTGGCTTGTTGAAAACTTCCATGATTGATCCTTCCAATCCACCTGACCACATTTCAGATGCCAAAAAATATATGATTAGTAGTTGTTGCAATGGTGAACAACTAGATAGTTCACCGGTATCTCAAACTGCAAATGGTTGAACCAATCAGAACACGAAACTCATCCCTATCCGTAACATATACCAACCCTGCGCACGCCATCCTATGATGTCACTATGACGGCGAAATCCAGCCAGAAATTATGAAATAAACCTTCCACATACCAAAGACTTTCCATTTGTGTCTTAAAACAAGTAAAACGTTGTTGATCTGTGCCCTGGGATAAAAGATATCATTGGCGTACAGTTGACTGTGGCAGTGGCATTGGTGGGGCTTAACAACATATTCTATTTTTATTTCTGTCTATTTCTTGGGTTACTTTAATTAGCGATTTATTCTTAGCTTTAACATTCTTCTTTCTGGTTCAATTAACCAGATGATTTTTTAAAGATGAATCAACTGTACTTTTACCCTGGGAATGCCTAGATCAGCCGATATAAAGAGTTAATGAGAGGACTGGTAAAGTGTACACAGAACTGAGTTTGATTTCTCACCCCTGCAGGAATACAGCCACACCTTCCCAGTATAATGTCCCAATCTTGGGGGGTGAGCGCACTCGCTGAGCACTCTATGCCAGATAATGGTGAGAGGATGGAAATACCTGCTGAGCCTTTCCATTGCCCTGACCTGTTACCTCTTCTACCTGAGCCTACGCAACCCACCCCCAGACTCAACACAGCAGGTAAATGTCTGCATTCCATGGGAGAGGTGGGGGGGTCCTCTATACAGAAACAAAGGAAGGAAGGATTGATAGAAGTATGTGGAGTGGGAGCAGAGTGTAAAAGGTAAAAACAATTTGAGATAGCAGGAGGAAACATAAAATAGTCAGGGGGAGGTGAGAAAGAGTGAAAGAAAAAAGAGAGAAAGTAAGACAGGGAGAAAGTTAGAGAAAGAGAGAAAACGAGAGAAAGAGAGAGGGAGAAATTGATAGAGAAAGAGAGAGGGAGAAATTGATAGAGAAAGAGAGAGGGAGAAATTGATAGAGAAAGAGAGAGGGAGAAATTGATAGAGAAAGAGAGAGGGAGAAATTGATAGAGAAAGAGAGAGGGAGAAATTGATAGAGAAAGAGAGAGGAGAGAAATTGATAGAGAAAGAGAGAGGGAGAAATTGATAGACAAAAAAAGAGAGAAAGTGAGCAGGTGAGATATAGAGAAAAAGTGAGAGGAGAGAGAGAGAATAAAAGGGATAAAGTAAGAAGCATGGACAGGGAGAGAAGAGAAAGAGAGAGCAAAAAAGGAGAGAGAGGGGGAAAGAAGATATAGGGAGAAAGAGAGAAATTGAGAAAGAGTGGGGAATACAAAGTTAAAACGTGATCAAAAGAGAAAGAAATAGAGAAAAAATGAGTGAGATAGACAGAAAGAGTGAGAGAAGGAGAAAGAGAGGGGGGGGGGGTAAAGTAAGAAGGAGGGAGAGGGAGGCAGAGAAAGAGAGAGTGAGAAAGGGGGAGAGGGGGAAAAGAGAGAAAGAGAGAGAGATAAAAGGGAGAGAGAAAGAGAGATAGAGAGATAAAGGGAGAGAGAAAGAGAGATAAAGGGAGAGAGAAAGAGAGATAGAGAGATAAAGGGAGAGAGAAAGAGAGGTAGACAGATAAAGGGAGAGAGAAAGAGAGATAGAGAGATAAAGGGAGAGAGAAAGAGAGGTAGACAGATAAAGGGAGAGAGAAAGAGAGATAGAGAGATAAAGGGAGAGAGAAAGAGAGGTAGACAGATAAAGGGAGAGAGAAAGAGAGATAGAGAGATAAAGGGAGAGAGAAAGAGAGGTAGAGAGATAAAGGGAGAGAGAAAGAGAGGTAGAGAGATAAAGGGAGAGAGAAAGAGAGATAAAGGGAGAGAGAGAGAGATGGGGGGGGGGGCAGGAAAAACAAGAGAGAGCGAGAGACAGAGAGAGATATAAAAAAGAAAAAGAGAGAAAGTGAGTGAAAGAGAGAGTGAGAAAGAAGGAAGGAAAGAAAGAGGGGGAAAGAGAGAAAAAAAGTAATAAAGAGACAGAGAGTGAGAAAGAGGGAGAGAGAGGGAGAAAGAACGGGATAGAGAAAGAAAGGGGGGAGGAGGAGTGAGAGAGAGAGACAGAGAGAGAGGAAGGAAGTGGGAAAGAAGAAGAAAGAAAGAATGAGAGAGAGAGAGAGAGGGGGGGGGGGGGGGGGGGGAGAGAGAGAGAGAGAGACGTCTAATTATGTTCAATTGTAATAAGAAATCATTTATTATAAAGGGTGAAGACAACAGAGGTGAATGTCTCAACAGCTGAATGTTCCCATCTGAAGTCTCTGATATTGAACTCTGTGCTGACAATGTGAGTAAATCGTTATCCTTGCTGTATCTCGGAGTGTGATCAGACAGAGAAGAGTTCCATTGTCACCAATATTAGAGATGAGTGGACTTTGGAATACTAACTCGGAGTACATTTCCCAAGTTGTACCTGGCCCAGTCCCAGAAGGAGGACCCACCTACAGTATTTACCCAACCACTCTATATCCAGTCAGGCAAGCCCTTGCACTACATAGTTGATGGTAGATCTAAAGGGGATTGTACAATCAGATTGTATAGTGTATGACAGCTTTACAGAAGACAATTCTCCTGTTTCCAATACTACAGCTCTGTCCACATAGGCTGTAATCTGTTCACTCAGCACACTCTGACAAATGATCCATCTATGCCAGATGAAAGGTAGGATAGAAAAACAAAAATGAATGTCTGTGTATTTAGTGAGAACAGCGATCACTGACTGATTGCTTTTCATTTAGGGAAGTGGAAGTGGGTGGGACGGGAGATGATGCAAGGTGTGCTATTGAGGTCAGTTGTTCAGATACAAGGTGAGGCAGTGAGATATAAATGCCTATATTGGGAGGTCACCACCCTAAAAACAAATATGCCCATATACAATAGACAAGGGATTTCATGGGTGACCTACCAGTATATGCACAGCAACAATCAAATGCACACATATAATTGTATAAACTATCATCACAGGTTTATTCAAACAGAATATAGAGACAGACTACATCAAATAAAATGATTGAAAATCCTGGTTTATCAAGGTACACTTGTTGTTGGCTATAATAATGAATTTTGCGGTGACAACTGCTTCTTCAGATTATTGCACTGCAGTGTGACCAATATTCAGAACATCTCTTTAACCATATAGTAACATGACGGGCGCAAGGTGGTTCTCTCGTTCTGGGAGGACGTCTTTCAATGGCCTTCCATTCTCACTGCGCATGCGCGGCTCAGGGAGCGTGCAGCGCGGCGATCGGTGGTGCTCTGTGTCCCTCGGACAAAGCGAATCACCGATCCACGGAAACAGCCGAAGATGTCGGCTTGGTCATGTGATCAGCTGTGTCCAATCACAGCTGATCACATGTAAACAGGGAAATGCCGGTTATCGGCATTTCTCTCCTCTCGAGTTGTCACGCTGACAGAGGAGAGCCGGTAATCGGCATTCCGCGGAGGGGACATCTACACTGATCATCAGGGCACTGATGATCAGTGTGCCCTGATGATCAGTGTAGCCCCAGCAGTGCCACCTGTCAGTGTCCATCAGTGCCACATCAATGCCACATATCAGTGCATACCAGTGCACATCAATGCCACATATCAGTGCCCATCTGAGCTGCCTTTCAGGGTCACCCATCAGTGCCAGTCAGTGCCACCTATCAGTGCTGCCAATCAGTGCCACCTGTCAGTGCCGCCTATCAGTGCCAGTCAGTGCTGCCTACCAGTGCCTGTCAGTGCCACCTAACAGTGCCAATTAGTGCCGCCTATCAGTGCCAGTCAGTGCCATCTATTAGTGCCAGTCAGTGCCGCCTATCAGTGCTGCATATCAGTGCCATGTATCAGTGCCATGTATCAGTGCTGAATTTCAGTGCCCATCAGTGATGCCTGTCAATGCCCATCAGTGCCACCTACCAGTGCCTCCTCATCAGTGCCCATCAGTGCCACCTATCAGTGCCCATCAGTGCAGCCTATCAGTGCCCATCAGTGTAGCCTCATTAGCGCACATCAGTGAAGGAGAAAAATCACTTATTTACAAATGTTTTTAACAAAAACTAAGAAAAACATATTTTTTTCAAAATTTTCATTGGTTTTTGGTTTGTTTAAAAAAAATAAAAAAAACCCAGAGGTGAATAAATACCACCAAAATAAAGCTCTATCTGTCACAAAAAAAATGATAAAAATTTCATATGGGTACAGTCAGGGGCGGACTGACAACTCATGGGGCCCCCGGGCAATAAGGGATCATGGGTCCCCTGTGTCCTTGCCAAAACTCAAAAAAGCCTATGAAAAAGGTACCAGGGCCATCTCATAGGGCCCCCTACTGACCCCGGGCCCTCGGGCAGTGCCCGAGTTTCCAAATGGTCAGTCCACCCCCGGGTACAGTGTTGTATGACCGCTCATTTGTCATTCAAAGTGTGACAGCACTGAAAGCTGAAAATTGGCCTGGGCAGGAAGGGGGTATAAGTGCCCTGTAGGCTAGTGGTTAAATAGGAAAAAATAAATAAATATATATATATAATACATATATATACATGGGCAACATAACATAAATAATTGAAATATCAACTGGCCTGTGGGAGGAGAAAAATGGACACACAACATCAGGGAAGAAAAAAAAACACACACCAGGCAACTTACAAAAACAGTACAAAGGATCTCAGGATGTGGTCACCTCCATCTGGACCAAGGAGAGGCATGCAAGAAAGAGACCATGGACAGGCGGCAACAGGCACAATAATCTTCAATTTTATAGCGTCCATAAAAGAGAACTCTAAAAGTAGATCAATACAGAGTGGTCATTAAATACACTGCTCAAAAAAATTGAAAGAACACTTTGAAAACACATCAGATCTCAATGGGGAAAAATCTCCTGCTGGATCTCTATACTGATATGGATGGGTAATGTGTTAGGAACGTAAGGATGCCCCATTGTTTGATGGAAATGAAAGGACTGAATTCAGAGACACCCTGAAAATCAAAGTGAGAAACTGATGCAGCAGGCAAGTCAATTTTGCTGAAATTTCATTGCAGCAACTCAGAATGGTCCTCAGTAGTTTGTGTGGCCCCCACGTTCTTGTATGCATGCCTGACAACGTCGGGGGAGGCTCCTAATAAGATGATGGATGGTGTCCTGGGGGATTTCCTCCCAGATCTGGACCAGGGTATCACTGAGCTCCTGGACAGTCTGAGGTGCAACCTGGCAGTGTCGGATGGACTGAAACATGACATTCCAGAGGTGTTCTATTGGATTTAGGTCAGGCGAGTGTGGGGGGCATTCAATGGTATCAATTCCTTCATCCTCCAGGAACTGCCTGCATAATATCCCCACATGAGACCAGGCATTGTCGTGCACCAGGAGGAACCCAGGACCCACTGCACCAGGAGGAACCCAGGACCCACTGCACCAGGAGGAACCCAGGACCCACCGCACCAGGAGGAACCCAGGACCCACTGCACCAGGAGGAACCCAGGACCCACTGTGTTAGCGTAGGGTCTGACAATGGGTCCAAGGGTTTCATCCCGATACCTAATGGCAGTCAGGACACCATTGTCTAGCCCAGCAATGGGCAAACTACGGCCCGGCGGACCTTTTAATCCGGCCCGCGGAACGTGATACTGTCAGGATGGCTGTCAGGATGTGTGTAGGCTGGGCAGCGTGACGAACGTGAGGGGAGCTAGGCTCCTCTCACAGTCCGCCCTGAAGACCGGAACGGTGCGGGAACACGGCGAGAGGAACGCGCGGAGCAAAGGTAAGTGAATTGACACAGGGGAATATGGGGGATGAATTACTATAGGGAGGATGAATTACTATATGGGGGATGAATTACTATATGGGGGATGAATTACTATGGGGGATGAATTACTATATGGGGGATGAATTACTATAGGGGGGATGAATTACTATATGGGGGATGAATTACTATATGGGGGATGAATTAATATGGGGGATGAATTAGTATATGGGGGATGAATTACTATGGGGGATGAATTACTATATGGGGGATGAATTACTATGGGGGATGAATTACTATATGGGGGATGAATTACTATATGGGGGATGAATTACTATATGGGGGATGAATTACTATGGGGGATGAATTACTATGGGGGGGGGATAAATTACTATGGGGGATGAATTACTATATGGGGGATTAATTACTATGGGGGATGAATTACTATATGGGGGATGAATTACTATATGGGGGATGAATTACTATGGGGGATGAATTACTATATGGGGGATGAATTGCTATATGGGGGATGAATTACTATAGGGGGGATGAATTACTATGTGGGGGATGAATTAATATGGGGAATGAATTACTATAGGGGGGATGAATTACTATATGGGGGATGATGAATTACTATGGGGGATGAATTACTATATGGGGGATGAATTACTACAGGGGGGATGAATTACTATAGGGGGGATGAATTACTATGGGGGATGAATTACTATAGGGGGGATGAATTACTATATGGGGGATGAATTACTATGGGGGAAGAATTACTATATGGGGGATGAATTACTATATGGGGGATGAATTACTATAGGGGGGATGAATTACTATGGGGGATGAATTACTATGGGGGATGAATTACTATATGGGGGATGAATTACTATGGGGGATGAATTACTATGGGGGATGAATTACTATATGGGGGATTAATTACTATGGGGGATGAATTACTATGGGGGATGAATTACTATGGGGGATGAATTACTATATGGGGGATTAATTACTATGGGTGATGAATTACTATGGGGGATGAATTACTATATCTACTCTTGGTCCGGCCCCCGGGTCCAATATATGAACCCATTGCGACCCTCAAGTCAAAAGGTTTGCCCACCCCTGGTCTAGCCTGTACAACTCTGTGCATCCCTCCATGGATAGGACTCCCCAAACCATCACTGACCCACCACAAAAACGGTCATGCTGAATGATGTTACAGGCAGCAGAACATTCTCCACGTTCTTCTCCAGACCCTTTCACGTCTGTCACATATGCTCAGGGGGAACCTGCTCTCATCTGTGAAAAGCACAGGGCGCCAGTGGTGGACCTGCCAATTCTGGTGTTCAATGGCAAATGCCAACCAAGTTCTATGGTGCCGGGCAGCATATAAAGGGTCTGGAGACCCTGCCTGTAACATTGTTGTTGACACTGTCAGGCATGCATACAAGCATGTGGGGGACATACAAACTACTGAGTACCATTTTCAGCAAAATGGACTAGCCTGCTGCATAACCTTTTCACTTTGATTTTCGGGGGGGCGCACAGCGTGCTCCCAGCACAAAGACCAGGGTGTGTCACTTAGAGCCCCGGGTCCCGTGTTAATGATCGGGACTCTTTTTAAATTGGTATCAGTGTCAGTGTGTTTTAGGTAAAAAAACACACAAAAAACAAAATGCGCACTATTGTTTCTGGGCTGTACTGTGGATACAAACAACAAATAACATCCACACATGTGGTATCGCTGCGATCGCCAAGAGCTGGAAAATGTATTTTGGGTTGTTCTTTGATGATAGGTTATGGTAGTAACAACAAAAACACAGCTAAATTAAAAATATATATATTATTGTTTTACTATTTTGAGCTAGTTTTCCTTTGATAATAAAAAAAAAACAGGAGATATCCATTACCATTTACCACCTAATCAAAGCCCGATTTGTCCTGAAAAAAAAAAAAACTTAATAATTCACTTGGATGTACGAAGTAGTTGTGATGATATAGAAGGTTTTACTAACACAGGTCAATGTTGCACAATTTTACTTAGGTGTTAAGATTTGTTTTACCCTTAGGCATGAAGGGGTTAATATTGCTTTGAAAATAAGACAAAATCCCTGATAGAGATCCCTCTGTAGACATTGTAAGTCATCAAATACTGGGAAATAATCATGCATTCTGCATTTCTCCAGTGATTTTATGATTTTGTTTTCTTTCTTTCTGTAGATTTAAAGATAATACATTTTTGGAGGTGGTAAAGACAGTTCAGGGGTGTCCTTGGAAGGAGGACCAGACACAGCGCAACCTGCTTCAGTAAGTATGGGATCCGTGGGTATATTCTGCGTACCTTATACATTATTTGGATCAGTTATACAACAAAAATAAAGGATGGTTTCTGTCGCTTACAGCTGAACTCGGCCAGATATGAAAAACACAAATAATGCATCTTTGTAATCATTAAGGTGGTTGTCAACCCTTACATGTGCCCATGACGGGACTGGCCTCAGGTGATGCACAGAGATGAAACAAATCCTCCTACGTACAATATATTGTCAAAAGTATTGGTCGGCCTGCCTTTCCACACACATGACCTTTAATGGCCCCCCAGTCTTAGTCCTTAGGGTTCAATATTGAGTTGGCCCGCCCTTTACACACACATGACCTTTAATGGCCCCCCAGTCTTAGTCCTTAGGGTTCAATATTGAGTTGGCCCCACCCTTTACACACACATGAACTTTAATGGCCTCCCAGTCTTAGTCCGTAGGGTTCAATATTGAGTTGGTCAGCCTTTCCACGCACATGAACTTTAATGGCCTCCCAGTCTTAGTCCGTAGGGTTCAATATTGAGTTGGCCCCACCCTTTACACACACATGACCTTTAATGGCCTCCCAGTCTTAGTCCGTAGGGTTCAATATTGAGTTGATCAGCCTTTCCACGCACATGAACTTTAATGGCCTCCCAGTCTTAGTCCGTAGGGTTCAATATTGAGTTGGCCCCACCCTTTGC